ATTGTCCTGTGTCTGTGGGCAATTCTACTTTGTTGCAGAAAGACCACGCGAGTTCCTGATCCAGGCGCTGGAAAGGGTGAAGGCTGGAAAAGGAGCAGAGGGGGAGTACCCGTACCTGATGGACGAGGCCAACCTGGCCGCCATGTTCAGCCTGCTGGATGTCGTAGGCCAAGGCCACATAACGCCGGCACAGTACAGAGAAGGTGCGTCTCACCGGAACGGCAGGGCACACTGAAGCCCTGTATTGTATTTGTTTGCACAGAATTGGTAAAATAGTTTCAAAGCTACACCTATGTGTACCTTAAAAGTAGCCACACAGCTGCCAATACACAACCTGGAACTTGGAAAGTTAAAAAGTTACTCATGTTTAAGTTACATATGTTTACCTTTCATCATATCTACGTCACTGTAAGGTGTTAAATTAATCTTTCCAAGACTTGCATAGGAAATTCTCTTTCCTTAATTTTAGCTCTTAAAACTTTGGGACTGAGCACTGAAGGTCTGCAGTTTGGAGATGATGTGAATATCACACTGGATGTATTCAAGGAAGAAGTGTAAGTTTAATTGAAAGGGTGTTTTTGTTTGTTTGGTTTTTGGGGGGGGGGGGGAAGAAGTACGCACAGGAGATATTGTACTGAGATTTATTTTTTGTTTACAAACCCATATAATGAAAGAATAATATAATTGCTGGCTTAAGCTTAACCCCTTTACTTTGCATTGCAAGATTTAGAAAGGTCAGTTACTGCCTGACCTTGCTTGGCTTGCTGTAACCTGAACCAGACTCTGCATTGTCCTCCACCGTCTCAGTTCCAGGATCCTCTCAAAGCAGAGCTCTCAGATTCCCGACTCCTCAGGTCAGCCAGCCTGTTATCAGGTAGCCTAGGGGTTCAAATACTGATCTAGACGTGTGAAGCAGTGTTGTCATCTTTGCCAGAGGTAGTAACACAGCTGTAGATGAAACAGGCTCAGAGTTATAATCATGTCTCATGGTCAAGGTATGGTTCTAGAGGCAATAGGCAATTTTTTGGTAACTGTTGCAATCACTGAAAGCTAACTGGAACTAATTATCCTCATTGTTATCTAACTAGAATTCTTTTTTTTTTTTTTTCTTCTGTCTTAGGAAGAAAAAGATGCTGGAGATCTGGGCTGTGTATTAATTTGAGCAGTGATCTGCTATATATAGTAAAAATAGGCATCTTTCTCAATTCTTCTCCTGGTTTGTCAGCTGTGGATAGCAGGTTTGAAGCAGGACTCTTTTCCTCTTTCCCCCCCTGCCCCATTTGCGTACCCACTGGAGGGGTATCACTTGAGAACTGCTTTTCTTAATAAGATGGTAAAAAAAAAAAAGTAGAGATCTCTTTTACACAACTAAAATAGTGGTTTGGAGTTTCCTCCTTCAGTTTGTAGCTTACAGAAAACAGGTGTTACTTGTTGGTTCATTACTATTGAATAAAATTATGTTCAAGAGTTGATTTGTTTCTTGGGTTTTGGGCTTGTGTTGCGTTGGCTTCTTTTTTTTAAAGGAACGACCAACTTCAGCAAGTTATGACAAATGTCCACAGTTAAAGAAAAGTAGCACTTCCAAGTAAAATGCTATTTTCAAACTTACAACACGGTATTTATACAATTTTTAAGGAGACACTTCAAAGGGAAAAAAAAAGGAGAGATTCTAGTACAGCAAAGAAAAAACTTTTGAATTAGTATAAATAGAATAAATAAAATATTAGAATAAAGAAAACCAAGTGACATATTTCTTTATTCCTTCTGTGTTCCGTATATACACATTTTAATACAGAACATTCATTAACTGGGATTTAGAGATGTAAAACATCTGTGAAGGCGGAGCGGTGCATAAACCAGAGTTGTCCCTATTCCTTAGAATGATGTCAGAGCACACAACATGACAAGGCAGGCATGTTCGCTAGAGACGAAGACAGTTTCAGCATCTAAATGCAATGGCAAGTTGGCTATGGAAAAAAAGATCTGCACAGTTCAAAATTAAGTCAGGAGCATTTTGAAATTTTTATTGAAACTGTGTACAAGAAGGCATAAGAAGAGATTAAACCAGTTGTTCAGCATATTGAGAAAATAAGACAAGTATATTACAACATATTTGCTTTGCTTTTGTTTGAAATAAGTCATCTAGACCAAGTTATTAACTACTTCTGAAGAAGTCTTTATTTTCCTGTATTAGGCCAACTAGCCCTCAAATTGAGAAGAATCTCAACATCCTTTTGAGCTAATTTATAAACTCCAAGTTCATTTAGCGCTGCTGTTGCAGATGGCTGGTTTGGCTTTAACATTGTTTCATTTTCCGAAGCTGACTGCAGTACATCCTTCAGAAGCAAGGCAGAGCCGACATTCAGGTTCAGGATAATGCAGGCTTCTTTTATACTGGCGGAAAAAGTTACATGGATTAATATGAGAAGCACCCATGAGTTACACTTAATTTTGTGCACACAGTGATTAACAAAAAAAACCTCCATGGACTCTCGTAAAGGATCAGAAGCACTGAACTGAACAGTACTACTTCGATCAAGGCAAACAGTACGCTTGCTCTTACTGCCTAAGCCTTTCCTGTTATGTATGCGTATTTCACGAGCACCGATATTTTGCCTCCCTGTGCTCAGCACGGCTTTTGCTTCTTCAGTTTTTCCGTCAGTGTTAAAAACACAGAATAGAATTCATCACTTAATCTGTCTAGCTTTCCCTAGCCACATTTTCCCCTAAGACAATTAGAAACTTCTTATTCAATAGATTTTAAGAGCACACTTTAACAGACAGTTGCTAGAATCTGAACGTTTTCCCTAATTAATATCATTAGGGAGCAAACAGATACCCTGTCTTTGTCACATTGTTTTTAGTCTAAATGTGATAGATGGAGCCAGGCACCCATTATTTTTTACAGTTCCTTTGCGCATCTGTTTCCTCTTATGCTGGGAATAATACGTATGTATCTATTACCTTTATGAAGGTGATGAGCTCAAAAAAAAACCTTAAACCTGAAGATGCTACACGAATATTCCAATTTAAAAATGCCAATACATAATCTTTGTCTTCAAGTGTTCAAGACCGACTGCCATGCTCCACACTGATGTAAAAATACTAAGATTTCCGTCCCAATTAGCCTAGGAGTTTAGCGCAGTACTCGTTATAACTGTGGGCTATTTAAAACAGACTAACGAGAAAGAAGGTAGCTGCTTCTCGTCAGTGAAAGCAAGCAGATTGCTACACAAGGCAATTCAGAGTGGGAACAGAGCTTAAAGTAGTCTTTCTTCTAACAATAAAGTAAGCTTATTCTGTTGTAACTGTATCTTTGAGTAGTTTCTTTGGCCCCAGTTTCGAAGGCTGAGGGCACAAGTACTCCAGAACACACGCTACAGTCTGTTGCTATCTGAGTACATGCTGCAGAATCAAAATTTTCCTTGTTGTAAACACTGGAAGCATTAATAAGGCACACATTTTAAGCATGGATCAAAACTAACTGTGAAAAAATCTTGGTGATACGTAAAACACATGTATTCGCCTGGACATTCTTTTCTGGAATACCGGTAGATCAGAATTTTGCCTACTTACTGCTTGAAGTAGTTTTCTGGCCTCTTGCAGTAGTGCGAGAATAAAGGGAACAGATTTCTACTCATGTCAAACTGGAGTTGTGCTGCTCCTCCTTCATTGAAATGATTTGCCATAATTATCTACAAACACAGAGAGGTACATCTGCTGTTTAGGCCAGCCACTTACTCCTACACTGTGTTGCACAGGCCACGTTTGGCTGATACCTACTTCCTGATAGATGTATATATCCACTTTCTCTGCAAGCATTTGCCAGAAAATTTTGAACAGTGAGTGACAGAGCTGCTGTTCTAGTTGTAGCAAGCGGTCTCGTAGGGTCAACAACATAGGGCAAGCTGTGCTCGACAAAGACATTACTGCTTGCTCTGCTTGAGATGGTAAAGATAACCACCTGAAAGAAATTACCACGCTGAAGTCATTACAATGGAATTGTTCAGATTACAACTACCGAAGTTAAAATTATCCTTTAAAAAAAAAAACTTACCCATTTACAATGGTTCAGAGAGAGTTCTCTTCTCCCATTTCAAATGTAAAAGTAATCATAGTCTAACGCTATGTTTAAATTCCATTTAATATTAAACTCTTGCTTCAGTTATAAATCTCTGAATATGCCATTCAAAGAAACCCCACCTAGTCTAGAAAATGGAGTTGCTGTATTCCTTTTATGAAGTACTTCACAAATCCTACTCAGGAGCAAACATTCAAGAAGCCCTATGAGTCTGTGAAGACAGAACAGTCATTACAGGCCATTTCGTATTAACTCTTTAATACTACTATGAAGAAAATAATTTTTGTCCAAACTAGAGTAATTCAGAATTCTTTCTAGGGTTTTTAAGAGAATGGTAACGCACCCCCTAATTGTGGAACTACTTCAGAAAGCATAGCATTAAAATAGTCTTGAAGTAAGTGTTAAGAGAGTTTTCCAAAACTTAATACACTGCATCATTCCTATCCAGGACAATAATTTTGCCAATTAGCTATTCCTGCAGTTATTTACCTCAGTATTTTTAACAGGAAATTATATTGTAATACGGAAAGAATCACCTCTCTTTTTTGTACAGCTTTGCAGCATCTTTGACCTCTCTGAAGACATGATCTACTTGACGAGTCAGCATGTCATGTTTCAGGCGTTCCAGGAGGTGAATCATTTCATCAAAGACAGAGCTTTCCATTGAAGCCAGCTGCCCCAGCTGCAGTTTACTGACAGTGTTACTTTCTGCACGGACCTCCAGTTCAGCCTGCTGTAGCTGCAAAAAGAACTAGAGACATAAAACCAGACATGAATACTATGAAAATTGATCTTATCATTTGAACTTTTCATTGGTATTTTAATAGGCACAGTTCTAGAAAACACTCTCCTGACACACTTATAAAATTCAAATTTTAAGATTTTAAAAACACTCTTATCTTTCCCTGAGGTCCTGATTCAGTGGAAAAAAAACACAGTGATTTAATCCTGGTGGTGGAACTCATTTGGGTTTCAGATACAACAGCAGATAAGTAATGGGAATAGATCTAGAGAAATACTAAAAAGATACTTTACGATTGACAGCCAAATGCTTAAAAACCCTGATTTTTGACCTTTTTAATGTTATTCCATCCCCCAGGCTCTCTTTGCGTTTCCCTAGAAAGTTTATAATTAATACAGCTTAGATCTCAAACAATAATCTGTCCTTATTTATACATCTTTTATTAAATCTGAATTTATATCTCATTCTATTTTTTCAGTAATTAATTCTTCTGAATACACTTAGATAAACACTGCTGAAAATAAAATGTTTGTTATGAAACAAACATCCAAAGTCCATTTTTTACAGCATTTTTTTTTAAAGTAAAATAATTACTTACTACATTGTCGGCCCAGTCTGCCAACACTGTTGCTATATAGTTAACAGCATTAAGGATTGCACAGTATCGAAATCCTAAGGAAGCTCTCGTCTCTTCCTTCATTACTTGAGTTAATCGTATCCTGAAATCATCAACCA